AAAATTTTGTTCCAAGATTTTGCTTTGCTATCGGCTTTTGATTATCGAATCAGTTTTGTGTCTCTGGATACCGGAAGCGAATCCTCGTACTTATTAGCTCATGTATGAGGCCGGTACAAGATTCGATTTCGATATGATACCACATCGTGGTTTACCGATTCTCCCATCGCATCGGCCATGAGCTGCCCACAAATGCCAACGGCAGGGCTCTTGCCGCACAATGCACCACGAAGCGTCGTTACACCACAAGGTTTGTATCGGGCGGAGGTGGCACGCGGAGGCGCGTGTACATATTTGTGTTTACGTTGCATGCATGTACGAGTGTGTCTGAATGTGGGCTTTGATGCAACAGCGTGAACAAAGAGAATTCACGATGCACTTGTCTCCCCTCGGTACATCCTATTTTCTCGGTCCGTTGATCCACATCGTGTCGCCAGTTAAATCGGAGATTCCTCGCGAATTCACGTACATTAAAATATTTGCGTGGCGCGTATGTAAATAAGCAATCTCAACAGTTTATTATAATCGATATCGATCAAATCTACTACTACATACTACACGTAAATTGCGATGGGAATTTTTGTCTCCAAATTCTATTATTATTTTTAGTATTCCCGTAATCTATCGGCAAATTCCAGCAACGACAAATCGCTAACTGAATCAGATTCACAATCGGATCGGGAGATCAATGCTATTTTTACCGAGCTTAAAACATAAATCGCGGCGACGCAAGGGAGAGATGTTTCGATGATGACGCGGAGATAAGGCAGAAGCTAATGGAGAGAATACGAGAAATAGGGCTTGCACCTTGTTAATAACGATAATAACGGCAGTAATGCGCGTAAACAGCAAAGACGCGTGCGGCTTATGATTTAAACAGTAAACGTTTCTCGCCGCGGATAAACGGAATATGGAAGTGTGGAACTCGGGGTGTAACCCCTTTGTGTCGAAAAGCCTTGTAAATACTGCCACGATTATCCCTTGGCGCGATTCATAATGTAGGAAAAACGATGCACGATTACGCAGTCAGCCAGCCAAACCCAATCCAACTCTTTTCGCCACGACACAACAATACTCTTTCTTTGTTTATCCTTTCCCTGTATTTTCTAGTGCTGTTTCTTTCTCTCTGCCTCTTCTTCAAGTACCTTTCTTGTTAACAATCAAAACAGAAGAATGGAATGAGTAACACTTTCCTTTCTTCCATATCTTCTTCTTTTATACCTGGCGACGGATCGGTATCCACTTGCAACGATGTGGGCGCGGAGATTGCTTGTCACTATTAAAGCGGTTGACGTGAAATTGATCTATAATATTGAGGTCACTATCACATAAGAGATTATAAGCAAATTTGCATAGAGATTGAGATAATTGAAATGGCAATTATACAAACTGCAATTATGCAAATGTTTTAGTCGCTTTAAGTTTCGAGTATTGCTAATTTTAATGAATTTCGAATCCCCTTTTGAGAATATGTATCTGCATATATATATCCATATACATTTATGTGTTACATTTATATATTTTATATAAAATGCGATTACATGTCTAATACATAAGAAAATAGAGTTCTCAATTTTTCCTTAAAAGTGTGAAGATCTTCTGTTAATGTCGCAAATAAAACTGTTTTTTTTTGTTTTAAATAAAAATTATGAAGCTCTACTTACGAGCACGGCTGCGTTCTATCATAAATATATTGCGCGATATGTGAAAGTCCAAAATATTTTACCGCAAATTGCCGCTCGTAACATCGCTGTTTGTTATGCTTCCATAACCGGCCATCTTTGACCGCTGTATTTTCATCTTTGCGGAATATATCTCGCATTAGATCTCCTACAACTGCATATTATGACACTCGGATAAACGAACGGTCTTAAAGTCACAATCGACCAGCTGGTACTAACTTAAAACTACAAAATCTATAATATCGCAGAATTATTTCGCAAACATTATATCTGTATATCGTTTGACTCCCTCACGAAGGCTACTATCTTTGGCTCTTGATCATGAAATATTATTTGGAATCTCGCGGCATCAAGATTATAAACGTGTTTAGTTTAGCAAACAATTACTGAAATTAATTGAATTAATTGAAATTATAATTTGTGACAAGATTTATGCTTTATATAAGAGTTATTCTTGTTTATATTATGTATATATATACATAGCAAAAATTTTAAAAGCTACAGTTATAAGAAAAGAGAATCACGATCCACTACGTAAATAACATGGTAGAAATAAAATATATACTTTTCTTAAAATATGACGAAAATATAATAATATAAATAATATTTTCTAGTTTAAAGTTTTTTTTTTTAAATTGAAAAGAAATTTGGAGAGGAATTCTTTCAATTATTTTTATATCGTTAAATAGCAAATTTTGTAAAATTTTGAGACAAGTTATTGTGCATAGTTATTCATATTATAACGTAGTTGCGATTTTTTAAATATTATTACGATTACATTCTTCAATTCGAGGAAAGAAACAAATTTGAACAAAAACAAGAATTTGAGCACAAGGAACAAAACAAGCAGGCATTTGACACACGTTAGAATTCCTTCCCTATCTTATCGCGTTCTTATGGACAAACATATTCCTATGCGCGACGTAAGAGTCACAACCGCAAGATGTGCGCAGGTGCATCGGAGTTTACTAGCAATCTCTCGCGAAAAAGTAAAACAACCTGTCCCAGTTGCACGACACCCTCGTATCCACTCGTTGAATGCTGTATATGTATGATCGTGAGGGAGATCGCGAAAGTAGACGCGAGTAGAAAGAGGCGGAAGGGAAAGCGGAAAGCGGAGGAAAAAGGTCTGGCCACCCTGTAGCTATACCAGCATATTTACAGAGGCTATAGAAGAGATACGTTTTAGTTTTGCATTTGTCGCCGTGGAGAAAATAGTACTTCGAGAGTGCTCGGGTAGGATAGGTAGAGGTACGCGTAGGTGGATGGCGACGTCGAAGGAAAAAGGGAAGCGGAAAGGGTGATTGTAGGTAGGTAGAGATACACGCGACGGTGGCGAACCGTCGACCGGTGATAGGAAAGAGGACGATACAGGAGAAAGAGATACGAGACTGCCATCTAACCGCGTCAGCGGGTGTGAGTCGAGCTCGAGAGTAAGGGGATGCAGGTAGCAACAAGGGGTGGAGGGCAAAACGACAGGGACGGGGGATTGGGGGGAGAGACGGCGGGATCGGGTCCCATGTGCCTGTCACGGTTTTACAAGTCCATAAAAAGAGGAATTTCAGACTGAGTTAAATATTGCTGCCGCTCTCACTGAATTTCAAGCACGCACACGCGTACAACCATCGCCGGTACATATATAATAGGGCGCGCACAGAAACGCGACCGCGCACCTTTTCACACGTATAACGAGCGCGGGGGAAATGGTAGGGGAAATCTTCTTGAGATATTTATTTGGCCGTCATGCGTGCCTGTTAAATTATTTCAAGCCGCCCGTTTCGCGGCGTGAACGTCGATGCCGAGGGATTTGGGCACATAACGGGTGGATTTTATTTATCATTCATATTATTCGCACACTATTATAATTGATAATAAGTTGTGTATTTCAAATTGTATTTCAATTTGTAAGTTTGTTTTGTGTCTGTCATTTTGGAGATATAAGGATATTTTCGTATAAAAAAAAAAAAACAACTGAAAAACCTTAATTCATTCGGCTTGCATTGTAATCCGCGTTCATATCAACCTTCCTATGCGCGCAAGCGTATAGAGATTGTTGGAAGAAAGTCGTTATGACGGGTTTCGTGGTTTATGGCTGATTCCCCGAGGTACACAGACACAGGAAGCAAAAGAGATTATTACAAGGGACGTACGCTAATCCCGAACTACCGCTGTACCGGACAGCCTTACGCATACAAGTTATTCTAGAAATACATGAAACTGTTACACCAAGTCTCATCTCACTGAATATCCTATGCTTTATCTACACATATACAAAGGCTGAAACAATAAATTAAGCAAAATTATAATTGTGCACTTCAAAATCCACGATGAAATTTTTAAGATCTCTCGTAACTATGCTTGCAAGAATTTTATGTGACATAACTTTTGTTACATATTTTTTTATACATTATTCATTCTGCTATATTGTAATAATTGTTACTCGCTTTATGTCAGAGTATCTGTCGCCCAATCTAGAAATAGAAATGCAGATATCCATTGTCACGATGGATAATCAATTCTGAAAGTTTGCCGATTGAATCATATTCGCTGTGCGTTTCAGTAAGAAATATTCCAACGATTTCTCTCTTTTCAACGATAAGAAAACTGGAACATGTTTTATTGACGCTGAAAACTATTCAGTGCCACAAGATGCTAGAAAATCTATTTCTAACACGTTGTATCGAATACAGAAGCTATAATGGCTTGTCGGATCGTGACGATCCGCGAAACTGGCACTGTTATATACATAGGTATATACGAATTTAGATACTACCCAAAACATATTTTTATTTTACCTATACAGTTACTTATAAATCTCATGAAACTTGCTTTTCTCTATTTTTGTCTTCTAATATGTTGTCAAAAATTTGAAATAAAAGTAATGCAATAAAATAATAGTAATGTCGTTATATAATATAATATACATAATTGGTACAAAAAACATAGAGCATTTAAAAAATTATTTGTATCTATTATCAATTTTTTTATTTTATGAAATTGTATCGTGCATTAAAATTACTACAGAAGTTTTCTATAGCAGTTTTTGTTACCAATGTTAATAATGGTTAATAAAGGTCTCGAACATCGATTCACATTAAACATTCGATTCAATTAAACATGCGAGTAATTGTAATTGCGTAGAATCAAAGTAGAACAATGTTATTAACGATGCATTTAATAAATGTTTTTTTAGTAAAATATTAATTTAATGTCACTGGTATTGAATTATTTTATTTCAGTATGTCTAAATTAGTTTAATTTTTATTCCATGATAATGGGTTTTGTGAAATAATCATTAAAAGAGAAAATATGATAAAGGTTTTATAAAAGCACGATTTTATAAAACATTTTATACATAAAATAAATATCTTCTCGCAAGATTGATATGTGAATCGTCGATGAATATGTGAGTTATGTAATTTATCGAGAAAGTAAAATTGAAATAATAGTATAATAAGAAAAACACGGATTTAAAATATTTTTGAGAATATGATATAGCTATTACAACAGTACTAATATTTGTACTTTTAAATTTTAGTAAGCATTCTGTAACATTGACCTACAGTTGCAAATCATTGTAGTATTGATAAATAAATGATTTATAAAATTATGTATGTATTATAAAATTGTGTTACAAACACATTATAGAAATAATAAATTAATTATCACGAATAAAAAATAAATGCATATATTTTATAAAGATATGTGTATTTTAATAAAATCAAGAGAACAAGTGTATTGTATTAATATAACAATGTAATAACTAATGAGATAATAAATGAACTATAATACTTCATTTGATTTTAATCGAGTAGTAGTAAATTTCTATTAGAAATTTAGTAAATTAGTATAGATATTACTGCTTTATTAATGTTATAAATAATATTAGGTTATCATAGAAATGTGTTTGTGGATCGAATCTGTTTTTGAGCATTTGATGAGGGGTTGATATAAACATTCTGTGTAATTTCCATTCACCCAGCATAACTCCTATTTGGTGTTGGGATTTTCATTTCCGTCAGTGTATTATTATTTAATGAAAATTTCCTAATATATTTGCATAATATGTATTTTATATAATTTTCCAAAAATTCAATCTGCGATCAAAAATGGCTTTAAAAATTCTCTTGTAGAATAATTCCCTATTCTGTCTAATTAGTGCGCAAATCCCACAAGTCAAGCAAGTATAGGATCAAAGGTAAAATGTTAAATATTTAAGGCACAATGTTAAATTTTTTTTTTCGTGTGAAGACGAAAATCTGAAAATTGGGTGTACTTACTGCTCGTATCCTGCTTTGGTTGGTTACCCGGCGACGTCGCCCAGTTAACTTTCATCTCCTGAAACATTTAAAAAGGAGAACATAGGTTTAACATGCTATTTAATAATGCAAAAGAGAAACACCATTTTTCAAGCTTAAAAGCATATATGCTATGTAGGCAAAGTTGACGCGTTAAATCTTGTTGATTATGCCTACATTAACATATAACAATCCGGCTTAGATTTATAAATTTATAATTTTTTCTATAGTGAAGAAGAATTTTTTGATACAATCGACAATTTAATCTTTATATCAACATTTCACATATATAAATTTTGTTTAATATATCAAACGCTGATAAAAGAATTCATATGTATTTATAGCAAAAAAAAAAAGGATAAAGAAGAATAATTATTTTTTTAACTAAATAAGTTCAAGTAATCAAAATAGTCAAAATAAGTTTAATGGCTTGTGGTACCAGTCAAAGGTCAGGTGGTTATCATTCAGGATCATGGTAATATCCAAGAAATTAAGTCGGTTTTCCTCTCCAATCTCAATTGTGAATTGCAGACGTGGGTGGAATGTATGTTTAATTTAATTTGATTATTTATTCTGAAGTATTTACAAAGTGATGATTAACTTCTTGATAATGATAATAAATCTGTCATATTTAAATGATGCTTATTGAAGTTATTATCAAGTTATTGTAGTATCATTCTTAAATTATTTTATATTTTTGCATTGCTATTGATTTTTAAAGCTACAGAAATTTCTTAAACAAACTTAGAAGAGAATCGATCATACATTACTTCTAAATCGGATCTGCAGATTCCGGTAGCGAGGAAGTGGTTTCACTTTGGAGAAGACGTCGGGCGGCGGAAATGGGACGTGTCGGGTATCGTCGAGTCCTAACAGATGCCGTAAACTGGATTCTTTATGCATCGTCGTATACCGGCTTGTGGCGTCGCAGATATTCGATAGATAGTAAAAGTCATTTCGTTGGAACCGATCGCGTCCCGAGAAAAAATGAAGACACGTAAAACGCTGCGAGATCCATGAACGAGTCGCGGAATAAGTTTTGTCGTATTGAATTTTGCGATGTTTGCAAAATGTCAACGGCTAACTCACAATCAGACAAGCAGCTATCATTACGTACTGTAGCATTCATCATTGATTTGATATTCCCCTTTGTCAGAATATTTAACACAGAGAATACACTACCAACGATAGGAATCCATTGATTTTATTGACAAAACAGTATTGTTCTTTCAGACACTACTGTGTGCAATATGTCTCTTGTAAAATATTATTGGCAATTAATAAGACCTCCGGGAAAATTCCATGTAAAAATATGTGTCGAGCTCGTAGACATATTATATATTTGTCCATTTTAAAAAAATTCTTATTTTAATATAGGTTTTTCTATTACGAGAAAAATGTAATGTTGCTTGTTATCACTAAAATATTTTTGCCATTAGTAATATTAAGCATTTCTTATTTTTTATCTATATATAAATTTTATTAAATCTTTAAAATCATTTGGAAATGCTTCAGCCGCGATTCCATTTTCTACGTAATCAAATTGTCAATTAATAGTGATAGATTTCACGAGAATGATATAAGCAGGAAATAGTAATATGTTACTGCTGAAGTACGGGAATAATAAAAGTCACGTGCACGATACGTAGAAAATGTGAACTGGATTAATGGAAGAATGGTGTCACCAATGTGGACGATACACTGGCCACATCAGTACGTGTTAATTCGGTACACGCAACCCGCGTGGCGTTGATATTGAATCGTTACTTTTCATTTTCTTGGCCGTTGGCACAGCCGACTCTCGGCGTCGTTCGTTCAGCCTTGGGCAGCTATTTAACTTTTCTGGATTATGAGAGTTTATGAAATTGACGCATAAGCTAAGATAGAAACGTGTTTTAAAACGCAGTAATTTTCGACTGATGATATTATTTTAATAAAAACCACACATATTTAAATTATAAATATTTTATATTTTTATATTTTAATTTGAACACATTTTTATTAATTATATTTAGTAATACTCAGAATAATTTATGAGTATAACTTAAAGTAGTATCTTATTAAAATATATAAATTATATTCAGTTAAACAAGATTTATAAAATTGCATATTTTTAATTTTTGAATTAAAATAACAATAAGACGGCTTGTAAAATATTATAATGCACAAAATATTGTATTAAAAATGTCTTTTAATATAAAAATGCAAATATATTGATTAATGAATTGATGAATTTATTGCTTTTTTACTGATAAAGATCAGTAAAAAAGCAATAAATTCATCAATTCATTAATCAATATATTTGCATTTTTATATTAAAAGACATTTTTAATACAATATTTTGTGCATTATAATATTTTACAAGCTTTTTGAAAGATCAGTTTTAGCAATCCATGAACTTGATATGGTGCAGTTAGATGAAATTAACAGTTTGCAGTTACTGTATATATATATAATAAAAAAGTTTTGTTACGGAATAGAGGAGGAAAAAATATTCGTAACTATTAGATCTTCATGAATTATATACATACTAAAATTATCACAATATAGATTATTATATGATTTGGTGTGTTGTTGTCCGATTTAACTATTCGTGGGATTTACTTCTTCAAACAGACATATTTTTCGTAATTTCGCAGACCCGCATTTGCATGTTGATGCTAAATACACTCCTCTAAAATCGATATAATGATAATTGAACCGAATTATAGAGAAATGTGCAAACAGAGGCAAAATACTCAGTCTCGCTTGATAAAGCATTTACGCCCACGTGCAATGCTTTGTACGATTACCAGCCAGCCGCGCATCGTAAACTATTTTACAAAATATATTTGGAAGCGCGGCATTGGAGGGAACGCCACAACTAAACGGTAAACTAACCGTAGCAAATAGTCTGTCAGATAGTATATCGGATATCAGTATGTGTATAGAAGTTAAATAAACGACATTATTGTGTATAGTAACGTTAATATAAATTATTTCTAATTGATTGATAGTTTTGTTACTTATGAATGTGTGTCAGGGAATAATTGCAAAGAATTTCTCTAACAAATACAACAAAAAAGGCTCCAGCTACAAAATATATTTGGAAGCGCGGCATTGGGGGGAACGCCACAACTAAACGGTAAACTAACCGTAGCAAATAGTCTGTCAGATAGTATATCGGATATCAGTATGTGTATAGAAGTTAAATAAACGACATTATTGTGTATAGTAACGTTAATATAAATTATTTTTAATTGATTGATAGTTTTGTTACTTATGAATGTGTCAGGGAATAATTGCAAAGAATTTCTCTAACAAATACAACAAAAAAGGCTCCAGCTGTCTTGTTATTTCTATACACAATGCTCGACCACATTTCTTCTCGGGATTTTCGCCGGACTAGTTATTCCAGAAAAGGGAAATGACGAGAACAAGTAACGTTAACCGAGGAAAACCGCGGTGCGGAGGATAAAGCATACGAGGTGGGGGAATAAGTAAGTAAGCGAGTGACTATATAAGTAAGGAAGCGCGCACAAGTAAGTCTGGTAAGTAAGTTAGGACAGGACGAACGCGCGTGCGAGTGCCCAAGACGGTCGGTATGCGAACACGGGGCCCGCAGTGTGTCTGCAGCAATTTGCAACTTTTAATAGTTAGCCGAGGCTGCGCGAGATCGTCTACCGGTCCAGAGCCCGTTGTTTTATGGTTTATACAGGAGGAAAGCAAGTTTACATGTCGTACTTTTGAACAGTTAATGCACACGCGCCTTATCCTACGCGAACCACCATCTTCCGCCATATTTATATATTAAAGGGTGAAGTTTCTTGTCCGATACACCACCCTCTCGTATTACCTCACGCGTATATCCAAACTTGCGTTTTAAATAACCTGTTCGCAAAATGAGACCGACCGGGCATTTCAGTTGCCATACAGAATGAGAGACTATTGATACTATGTATGCCTGTCAAGTAATCGCGTATGGGCGAGCTTTATGAGTTTTCTCTGAGTCTGATTAATAATAAAATCTCTTAAGATTTCTTAAATTTAATTAGCATTTAGATTCTTTACACAAAGATGCACTATCTTATTTATTTAAATAGAAACTATATTCTCTTGACTTGTATTAAATATAGTCATTCGTATGTGTTGTGTGTGAACAATAAGAATATATTATTTTAAATAAATAGTAATGCGTCTTTGTCAAGAATTTAATTGCTAATAAAATTTAAAAAATATTAAAAAATTTTATAATTGATCATTGACGGTTTTAATACTTTAAATTAATTAATAAATATAAAGTTATTTTAGAAAAATAAATGAGATACAGTTTGGCGTATTTTTAATTTACATGGTTTATTAAAAGATACGATAAAAGAAAAGCCCAATAAAAGCACAAAAAGTAATTAATGTTATAACAATACATAATAGTAAAATGAAATAAATTAAACGTAGGAAATTTTTAAATTATTAACAATAATATTAAAATGTAATGAATAAACAAAAAAAATACAGTACAGTTAATTATTTTATCATTTCACTACGTGTAATTCTCATATAACAGAAATTCCAAATAATTCTGATACTATGATTTTATAATGAAACGTGTCAATATTCACGAATGGAGTTAACACAAAAAAATCAAAATTTTTTATCATCTTTATATCATCGTATAAACAAAATCGAGAAATTTTTTAGTCGATCAAGTGCAAGATTTTTTTTGCCTTTTGCAGTCTATACACACACGCGCGCTCACGCACACATACACATACACAGCGAATCTATACATGAAAAACGGAAAATCTCTTGTCTGCAAACTATCGAACTGCCGCGTAGGGTATCGCGTAGAGTATTGCGTATTTCGACATTGTGAAAAGTGAAACATGGCACTTTAATGCAAGCCTTAGATCGCAGTAGGAGAGCGATTACATATTACAGACGTGAAAGTTGAGTTATTACGAGCGAGTATCGGCAGGAAATCGGGCAGAAATTGCAAGCTGCTGCACTTTTGACCTTAGCCGTGCAGTCGTCTGCCGGTCAGATATTTATTGTCCTATTATC